ATAACGGGATGTGTGCAAAAAGAGGATGTGTGCAATAATGACATGTGTGAAATAACGAGATGTGTGCAATAACGTGATGTGTGCAATAATAGGATGTGTGCAATAACGTGATGTGTGCAATAATAGGATGTGTGCAATAACGTGATGTGTGCAATAATAGGATGTGTGCAATAACGTGATGTGTGCAATAATAGGATGCGTGCAATAACGTGATGTGTGCAATAATAGGATGTGTGCAATAACAGGACGTGTGCAAGGAGGTGGACTCTAACTTTGTGAATCTTGGTGAATATTAACGTGTGATCAGTGGTCTGTGTTTAACCATGTGGCCCGAACCACGTGGATCCTTTGACTATAATCTGCATGTTTACTTTCATGTTTCTAATGTGCTTTGATTTGTTGCTGGTTGTATCCATGGAAACGATACATTGTGACCTCATTGGTTAAAATAATGTGAAAGATAAATATAGACACAGAGACACAGGTACATATAGACACAGAGACACAGGTACATATAGACACACAGAGACACAGGTACATGTAGACACAGAGAGACACAGGTACATATAGACACAGAGACACAGGTACATATAGACACAGACACAGGTACATATAGACACACAGAGAGACACAGGTACATATAGACACAAAGACACAGGTACATGTAGACACAGAGAGACACAGGTACATATAGACACAGAGACACAGGTACATATAGACACAGACACAGGTACATATAGACACACAGAGAGACACAGGTACATATAGACACAAAGACACAGGTACATGTAGACACAGAGAGACACAGGTACATATAGACACACAGAGAGACACAGGTACATATAGACACAAAGACACAGGTACATATAGACACAGAGACACAGGTACATATAGGCACAGAGACACAGGTACATATAGACACAGAGACACAGGTACATATAGGCACAGAGACACAGGTACATATAGACACAGAGACACAGGTACATATAGACACACAGAGAGACACAGGTACATATAGACACAGAGACACAGGTACATATAGACACAGAGACACAGGTACATATAGACACAGAGAGACACAGGTACATATAGGCACAGAGACACAGGTACATATAGACACAGAGACACAGGTACATATAGACACAGAGACACAGGTACAGAGACACAGGTACATATAGACACAGGTACAACACATAGTCAGACAATCAAAAGGGAACAGGAAGTAAAACTAATCGAAAACCACAGTGAACTGAAATCAAAGTACTCGAGTACAAAATAACCGTGACAGAATAGATGTGTTTGGTTCTGTTACCAGCTGAACCCAGGGAGCGGTGTGACCTCCTGTGGCTGACACTCAGATGGGACACCTCCCCAGACGCCCGGGTGTAAATGAGCTCCATGACACCTCGCTCGCCTGGGTGTCAGAGGAGAGAGAGGCCCGGACAGGTGCGAGACGAGAGCGAGACGAGAGCGAGAGGAGGCTATTGTTCTCGGTACAAGCAGCAAATGTCACGGTGAACAAGAGGGAGGTTTCATACTGAACCAGCGACATGCTAACGTCGCTTGTAACTCCCTTGATCTGAATGGGAGCCGTCAAAATGACTGCTCTGGGAGTCCTGGCGTTATTTGTAAGTCTGCCTTAATGAACTCGGTTGTCAACGTTTTCACAAAGTAGAAACCTTTACGTGGAAATATGTAAGATTTTTACCATTAAAGGGCCCTGTTTGGTTCTCATTAAAGGGCTCTAATCTGTCATCATTAAAGAACCCTAATCTGTCATCATTAAAGGGCCCTAATCTGTCCTCATTAAAGGGCCCTAATCGGTAATTATTAAAGGGCCCTACTCTGTCATCATTAAAGGGCCCTAATCTGTCATCATTAAAGGGCCCTATGTCATCATTAAAGGGCCCTAATCTGTCATCATTAAAGGGCCCTAATCTTTCATCATTAAAGGGCCCTAATCTTTCACCATTAAAGGGCCCTAATCTTTCATCATTAAAGGGCCCTAATCTGTCATCATTCAAGGGCCCTAATATGTCATTATTAAAGGGCCCTAATCTGTCATCATTAAAGGGCCCTAATCTGTCATCATTAAAGGGCTCTAATCTGTCATCATTAAAGGGCCCTAATCTGTCATCATTAAAGGGCCCTAATCTGTCATCATTAAAGGGCCATTATCTGTCATCATTAAAGGGCCCTTATCTGTCATCATTAAAGGGCCCTAATCTGTCATCATTTAAGGGCCCTAATATGTCATAATTAAAGGGCCCTAATCTGTCATTATTAAAGGGCCCTACTCTGACATCATTAAAGGGCCCTAATCTGTCATCATTAAAGGGCCCTAATCTGTCATCCTTAAAGGGCCCTAATCTGTCATCATTAAAGGGCCCTAATCTGTCGTAATTAAAGGGCCCTAATCTGTCATCCTTAAAGGGCCCTAATCTGTCATCATTAAAGGGCCCTAATCTGTCATTATTAAAGGGCCCTAATCTGTCATAATTAAAGGGCCCTAATCTGTCCTCATTAAAGGGCCATAATCTGTCATCATTAAAGGGCCCTAATCTGTAATTATTAAAGGGCCCTACTCTGTCATCATTAAAGGGCCCTAATCTGTCATCATTAAAGGGCCCTAATCTGTCATCATTAAAGGGCCCTAATCTGTCATCATTAAAGGGCCCTATGTCATCATTAAAGGGCCCCAATCTGTCATCATTAAAGGGCCCTAATCTTTCATCATTAAAGGGCCCTAATCTGTCACCATTAAAGGGCCCTAATCTTTCATCATTAAAGGGCCCTAATCTGTCATCATTCAAGGGCCCTAATCTGTCATTATTAAAGGGCCCTACTCTGTCATCATTAAAGGGCCCTAATCTGTCATAATTAAAGGGCCCTAATCTGTCATCCTTAAAGGGCCCTAATCTGTCATCATTAAAGGGCCCTAATCTGTAATCATTAAAGGGCCCTAATCTGTCATTATTAAAGGGCCCTAATCTGTCATAATTAAAGGGCCCTAATCTGTCCTCATTAAAGGGCCATAATCTGTCATCATTAAAGGGCCCTAATCTGTCATCATTAAAGGGCCCTAATCTGTCATAATAATAAACTGCTCTTTTCCAATACTTCTTTAACTGATAACAGTAGTTCAGAGATATTTAAAATTTCTAAATTACTTTTCCAGCCTCTAAATCTTGTTATTGTTTTCATTTCGATGTCCCGCCCTCCACCGTTTCACCAATCAGAAAGTCTGTGATCCGGGCGCCAGAACTCACCTGGTGGAGCTAATCTCACTGGTAAAGTACTATGTGGCGCAGAACTAAAAAAGTTCTTGTTATGATTCTCAAATCATTAACGACAAAACAAGGAATAAAACCAGGATTTCTATCTTTGTGAAAAAGGTGTTGGTTATAGATTTGTTGTTGACAAAACTCTTGTCTATTCAGCTGTTATGGTCCCAGCTGGATTCGTCTGCATATCTGGCAACCTGAGTCAGGGAGAGTGGGAGAGGCTGCAGTACCACTTTTGGCCACATTTTTACATATTGCTTCATCCATTTTCTTCCCCTTCCATTTCTGGGTCGGGGGAATTCACAGACCATACATATCGCTCCTTTAAAGATATATAGAAGGATGTTCTACTTCTGGGTGGATCATCAAGACTATTTTGTCTCCCAATTGTCAATCATTCTGTCTTCCAATCAGACCGTAGGGTTTTGTTCAAAAAATGGAGAGGGCGTTTCTTTCCTAACATTTGGAAAAATCCTCCTTTATACCTTTGATATTGTTGTGGAGAGAGACAACTGTTACAAGCTGCGTTTCCATTGAGCATCAAATTTCGAAATTTGAATTTGCGCATCATAAAATGTCTAATGGAAACGCGCAAATTTCGAATAAACCACAGTTTTTCGATAAAAAGTTAATGCGCTTAAAATAGGTGGTTTTTTGGACGTATCGAAATTAAGTTTTTCGCAAAACGGCAATGGAAACACTTATTTCGATATAGCGGAGGAAGCCGGGTGTTGATAAACCCAAAACATACATCTCTGATCATCAGCTGATCGTCCACAACAGCCTGCAGGGTAATTGACGGCCACCCTTTCCTGTTAACGTAATCTCTGTAGCCATCCTTCGGGGCACGAATAGGGATGTGTGATCCATCTATTGCTCCATAGATTTGTGGCAAGCCCTGCGCTGCGTAATTACGCATGGCAATTTCTTTTGCCTCATTCACATCTGGCAATGCGATGTATTTCTTCATTAGTTTTTTACATAACGCCTTACACACCCCATAAACACACCGATGGACTGTGGTCTTGCTCACTCCAAATGTCTCAGCCACTTCTCTATACTCCGCGCAAGTAGCCAGTTTATAGTTATTTATAGCAATGGCAATGCGCTTCTCTGTGGGAACTGCCTCTCTAGGGCAGTGTGCAGCGGGAGCCACAAGCGGTCCCACCGCTTCGCACAGCTCCTCAAATGTTGTGCGCGTCATTCTGAAGTTTTGGATCCATAGTTCCTCTGTGAAATCATGTACCACGACTTCCCAAAAGGTTCTCATCCGCATCCTCTCCCAAGTATACGGAGATCGCCGCTCCATTACACTCAGAAGGAGATGCCGCCGACGCTTAATCAGGTTATGGATGAGAGCCGCAGCAGAAGTCAAGACATTAATATATCTCACGTAAATCAAAGTGTTGTTTACTTCTGTTACCATGTTGACGTACTAGAAGCTAGTGAATAAACGCGCGAAAATAGTGTATACTTATTCGAATATGTCTTAATGGAAACGGCCGCTTTTGCGAATTACAGGTTTTTCGAATTTTGAAATGTATCGAAAAAGTTTTTGCGCATTATTCAATGGAAACGCAGCTACAGAGAGACAGAAACACATCCATCCAGACACACACATAAATAAACACATGATTATAAAAGTGACTGACAATAACAATAACAATAACAATAGTAATAAAGTGCAACAGCGAGAAACACCAGAAATAATGTTAGTCATGGATCGCACAGGTCTCGGTTTGTGATCACTCTGAGACAGTGGAGCAGAGGCAAATATCCACGCCGTTTGAGCTGATAAATTATCCAACGCAGCAGCAGCAGCAGCAGCAGCAGCAGCAGTAACAGCAGCAGCAGTAACAGCAGCAGCAGCAGCAGCAGTAACAGTAGCAGCAGCAGCAGCAGCAGCAGCAGCAGCAGCAGCAGCAGCAGCAGCAGCAGCAGCAGCAGCAGCAGCAGTAACAGCAGCAGCAGCAGCAGCAGTAACAGTAGCAGCAGCAGCAGCAGCAGCAGCAGCAGCAGCAGCAGCAGCAGTAGCAGCAGCAGCAACAGCAGCAGCAGCAGTAACAGCAGCAGCAGCAGCAGCAGTAGCAGCAGCAGCAACAGCAGCAGCAGCAGCAGCAGCAGCAGCAGCAGTAGCAGCAGCAGCAGCAGCAGCAGCAGTAGCAGCAGCAGCAGCAGCAGCAGCAGCAGCAGCAGCAGCAGCAGCAGCAGCAGCAGCAGCAGCAGCAGCAGCAGCAGCAGCAGCAGCAGCAGCAACAGCAGCAGCAGCAGCAGCAGCAGCAGCAGCAGCAGCAGCAGTAGCAGCAGTAGAAGCAGAGCCAAACAGAGCTGTGACTCGGCTTCACCTGCTGTGACCTCATTCTTCCGGCGCAGACAGAAGTGCACCGTCTCCTGATCTCGGGCAGGTTTCAGATCTGCTCCCTCCCGCCTCCTGTTCCCCGGGAAACGCTGACTCTGCAGAAGTTCCACCCACAGAGGAACAGAGGAGACGACCGCAACACCAGACTGAGCCCAGAATCAAGGATTTCACCAGCAGCTTCTGGAGAAAAGGCCACTGGAGAGTCTGAGGAGGTGGGAGGCCAGATGGTTAAACTGCTAATGTTAGACTGTGTCGAGAAAAATACATTACAGTTGTTTTTTTTGCTGTTGTTTGTAATTACATCCAGAGAAAAAGGTAGAAACTGTCTGAGTAACAAAGTAGTATCCCATATACAGCTATAAACCAGACCAAACTCAGACCTCTGAGTCCTGGTATGTGGCCCTCTGCCTTCCCAGCTTCAAACTTTCTGGATTAAAAACTCTTTAAAGATGATTTTGCGTCATGCTTGGAAGGTTCTTTTGATAAGACAAAAGTAGAACGAAGCTAGCACTACTTAATTATCCAACTTGGTTTGGCTGTCAAGGCTCCTGTGGACTCAGCACCTGCAGGAGGATCAGTGAGGGGCTGGTGGTACTGGGTGCAGCTCTGACTGACACCCCCCCGACCCAGAAATGGATTAAGGGGAAGAAAATGGATGGATGGATGGGTTTGGCTGTTTCATCAGAGGTGACACGTGATGTTGGCAAGTCTCTCAGTCCTCATAAGTCCCCAGACCCTAGTCCTCATAAGTCTCCATCCCCCAGTCCTCATAAGTCCCAGTCCTCATAAGTCTCCATCCCCCAGAGTAGATAGTATAGACGGCGGTAGAGAGCAAGTGGTGAAAAGGTGGTACTGCACCCTAAAATCCCCCAGAAAAGAGACGGCGCTCTTGAGCAAGTGGTGAAAGGTGTTACTGCACTTTGTTTTTCAAAGAGTTAGCTTCTGTTGGCCTGTGTGTGTGTGATAATGCTTTCACAGTTGTCTAAAGTGTTTTATGATCACGGTGTATTCTAAAACAAGCAGTTAGGTCAATAAACTAATTAATCTACAGGTCCTCCCTGTTAACGACACGTGTGTGTGTCTGATAGTGATGAGCGGTTGGGAGGGAGGGTTTTATAACAACCAACCAGAATGCTCTGATGTATGTGATGTGTGAATGTGGGGGAACCATGACTGAGCTCACCATGTCAATTGATGGGCTGCTAGGCTTTCAGTATACCATGTATGTATGTAAAAAGAAAATTATTTAAAGAGCAGCTTCACAAGAGCTCACAATATACATGGCTTGAGGAGAGTAATGAAACTCTCTCCTGTGCCTACCTTGACTTAACTGTCACAGCTTTTAAGTAATAAGAGTCACGGAGGATAGTTGTTAATTTTCACGGAGATGGGCGCAGGGTTCCAACTGGTACAACAGTATAAACGACCCGTGTGAAACTCACCTGATGACAAAGGTTCCGTGGAGCAAAAACACATATATTTTTTGTGTGTGTTTATCAATCGTAATTAATGCGTTATACTCCTAACCCTAATCATAAGGTATTAGTCTCTATAGCAATTTAATTGTCCAATACAATAAAAATAAGAACCCTATATATACCTATATGTACACAGTTTGAAACAGAGTAGGTAGATGTGAAACTAGGGTCCTGGTACATGTTTTCTTTTTACTAGAGATCAAATGATTTAAAGGCGTACATCTCTCAGATATACAATTGTTACCATAAATAGTCATCTTAAAGACTGATTAAACAACCATATTACATACCTTAAACATTATGTACAACATTTTACCAAAACACAAGCCAGTAATTAAACATTATGTACAACATTTTACCAAAACACAAACCATTAATTAAACATTATGTACAACATTTTACCAAAACACAAACCATTAATTAAAATCCAGATTTTCGTATGTAACACTCTCATATTTATTGAGTATAGTAGTTTTGTTGTTTCTTAAAAACCATGATTTTTATTTTGACTCTTTAATGTCTTTGTTAAGTTGATTCCTTTCCACTGAGACCATTCTTCCCACGAATGTAGTTCTGAATCTAGGTTTTATTAAAGATATCAGTTACAGATTGTATCGACTTTGTCTTTTTTTTCCAAAGTTCTCGTAGATGTTTTGCAATTTACCTTATACAATGTAGGATAAATAGTATAATCCACTATAACATATAATTTTAACACCAAGCACTCAAAAACAGGATTTGATGAATCTCGATATATTTTCCTTCTGGTCTTTTTTTTTTAACTATAGGCTGTGTTAAACGTTGTCTCCAAATGTTAACAACATAGGTGAGGTCGGTATAATCATTCTAGTATCTAAGGTCAGTAATGCTGAGCGGTGTTTTCGTAGATGTTTTCTGCTAATGTGTTGCAATTACCTTATACAATGTATGATAAATAGTATAAACCACTATAACATACAATTTTAACACCAAGCACTCAAAAACAGGATTTGATGAATCTCGATATATTTTCCTTTTTGCTCTTTTTATGTAAAATAACTATAGACAGTGTTAAACGTTGTCTCCAAATGTTGACAACATAGGTGAGGTTGGTATAATCATTGTATTATCTAAGGTCAGTAATGCTGAGTGGTTTGGAAAGTGTAAAACACCAAGGCTAATTTTCCTTATGTACAGTGTCTGTGAGATTTACAACTCAGATCCTCAACGATGATGACTCCCAAAAATGTTGTTTCTTTTTACCCTTTTCAATTTCCCCCGTCTAGTCTTATCGATACACTATTTAATATTTTTCTCTAGCATTGAATATCATGTAATCGTTTTTTCTTTGTTTAGAGCAAAGTCATTTGAACCAACCAGATTTTTATTATGACAAGTTCTTTGTTTATTACTTTTTGATAACTCTCCAACATTTTTTCCACAACAAAATAATGCTGTGGCACCAGCAAATAAGATTATTTGTAATATAGGTGTCATGTTTACAAGTTTAAAGACATAATTCAATCATTTATAAGTTTAAAAATGCAACACGTTCTTAAATGCTATGTAATAAGTTACATTTAAAAAACAAAGATTCCCATTTTACATGGGAAATGAAGACAGGGGTGAAATCCGAGGCACTCTGATAAAAGTCCTTTAACAGAGAAGGGGCCAACGTGTTTGGGCCCCGCAGCGCCTTCTTCACCCAGTGTGATAATAAGATATATTTGTTTGTTGTGCTAAAATATAAGGGGAAACAAAGTAAGACATCTTCTCTATAAAACAGTAGTTTCCTGTCCGAGCAGAGTAAGCGCTCTTGTTTGGTTTGTTTTTTTGTAAAAATCTTTGTTTCATGTGTTGACCCTAGGCAAACTTTCGGCTTTGTAAGTATTATTTAATCTCATAACCATATTGTTAGGACCCCAAAAGTGTTTTATTCTACAGCAAAGTGTTAAGTTTGGGCTATATCTGAGTAGCAAGCGCTGTACGCAATTCCGTGTGTATAGCCGTCGATAGTTTTTTCTGTTGTTTCAGTTACGGTGATTTTGGTATTTTGTATTTAAGGATGCAATGAACCATACGCGTGAGATTCTCTATGAAACAAGAAAAGTAAACCTTGTCTACAGAGTTTTGCTCCAGCTTCAAATGGTCACGTATCGTGAGGACACCACAATAGTTGATACTTTTGGAAAGTCACTCATACAAACAATATTGGTATTGAGTAATTTATTATTTTTTACAATTTATCTGCACAAACTGTTTAAGATTTTCTAGATAACTAGAGAGCCATGTATGAGCAAAGCCTTTTGCAGGTCTAGTAAGATACTTACAACATATGTATCTGCATATTTTCTCTGTCAGTTCCATTATTCCCACAGCAGTTGAGTGTTTTTTTCCTAAACCCATACCCATTTTAAATTAACACATTTACTTTTGTAAAAAGCTATCCACTCACATTGCAAATACTTTTTCAAGATTTTAGAAAACTGTGGTAACAAAGACACGGGTCTAGAATTTGAGAAGTTGTGTTTGTTTCTGTAAAGAGGTATAATTTTAGTTGTTTTCATTTTCAGGAAAAGGTTCCTGTTTTTTAGTGACAAGTTGCAAAGGTATGTAAAAGGTTCAATTACAGATGCATCATGTCTGAGACAGAGTCGGTTGTTTACAAATGTATTCACAATTTTTCATACTATGTCTTTTTTTTACATATTGGAAAGAAAAATACTGTTCACAGGATCTACCTTTGTATTTCACTGTAAGATGTAGGCTTTGGAAATTTTCTTTTCTTTCGAGTCTCCCACACGAGTAAAGTATCTACAAAATTCATTTGATATATTCATTTTATTTGATATTTCTGCCTTTGACAAAATAATTTGTGTACTCATGTGTGATTTTTGTTGTTCCTCATGACATTATTAAAAATTCTCCAAGTAGCTCGTTCTCATTTAGTGCATCACTGTAAAACTGTTTCTTCTGGTTATCCAGATTTCTAAAACAATGTGTTTACCGTTTTACTGTATGAATATAATATAATCAGAATAGTAAGACAGCATCTGGTGTTAGACAACACCTTGATAAACAGAATTTGTATTATACAAAAAATGAAAATAGAAGACAAAAGGTACAACACATACGAAAAATATATAAAAATAACTGATACAATAAAATAAAACACAGATATGAAGTGACACTTTACCACAGTGCCACAGATATGAACACTATATTGAATAACATATCATGAAGATATAGGATCACAGTCATTTATAAATAGTCCTCTGCGTCATTTGTTACATTTAGATTTTCTACAATGTCTTTGTATGATCCCACATTTGTTTCAAATATTGCTAGCTTTCCTTTTCTAAAACATGTAACTCTTTCAAGGGGAAATAGCATTTTTATTTTACCCAAAGCATCAGCTTGAACTTTTTTTCCACTAAATTGCAATTGTTCTCTTTGCTTGTAAAAGACACATATCTATCAGTAATTTTTTTTCATTCTTTGTAAACGCATGTTTTCCTAAATAAAAAGTGTATATCCTTAGATATAGTGGTCTCTACTACTCCTTTAACCTCAGCACACCCCACACACACAGTGGAGCAATGACCCTTTACCACTTAGTACATACATCAGGTACATTTACTCCTTTTAACACTTAGTTCATACATCAGTACATTTACTCTTTTTAACACCTAGTACATACATCAGGTACATTTACCACCTAGTACATACATCAGTACATTTACTCTTTTTAACACCTAGTACATACATCAGGTACATTTACCACCTAGTTCATACATCAGGTACATTTACTCCTTTTAACACTTAGTTCATACATCAGTACATTTACTCTTTTTAACACCTAGTACATACATCAGGTACATTTACCACCTAGTACATACATCAGTACATTTACTCTTTTTAACACCTAGTACATACATCAGGTACATTTACCACCTAGTTCATACATCAGTACATTTACTCCTTTTAACACTTAGTACATACATCAGGTACATTTACTCCTTTTAACACTTAGTTCATTGTCAGGCCTCCTCTCTGACAATGTTTAAAGCCAAGTTAAAAACGGTGGTGTTTAGCTGTGCATACAACTGAGGGATTTTATATTTTTATCTTTCGTTTTAATGTTCTGTGATTATTTATGATTTTAATGCTATCTTGTTCAGCACTTTGAGTTGCCTTGTGTATGAATTGTGCTATACAAATAAACTTGCCTTGCCATGCCTTACATACATCAGGTACATTTACTCTTTTTAACACCTAGTACATACATCAGGTACATTTACCACTTAGTACATACATCAGTACATTTACTATTTTTACCACCTAGTACATACATCAGTACATTTACTATTTTACCACCTAGTACATACATCACTACATTTACTCTTTTTAACACCTAGTTCATACATCAGTTACATACATCAGGTACATTTCCATTATAACTATACCATTTTCTGATGTCTCATTCGTTCTCATGACCCACTTGGATTGTAGGAGACTGTTGCACTAATATGTGCTTTTGCTGATTCCCAATCCTCTTTTACAATATTTGTTTCTAAATCCTCATTCCAAGCCTTCAATCTTAAATCAGAATTGTCAGTTGAATTCAGATATTCTGCTCAAACTATTTTACTTTTCAGAGGTTTAGTTAAACTATCTTGATTAGATCTGTTGAAGCCTCTAAGCTGAAGACATTTTAAAATACTATGTT